ACAGATTTTAATTTGGGGTGGGAGGGGTTTTTCTGAGAATGTGTATCAAGCAAAGCATACCTTATGTAAACACAAGGAAAACTGAATGCCAACTAAAGTATTGTTACTTGCTAAAACAAACCAATTCCCACTCCCCCGTAAAAAATCTTTGGAACAAAAGCTTCACAGTTAATGGACATAGGTATTACGTGAACTAAATATTTCCACATTTTTGGTCTGTGCCAAAATGTCAAGTTTGCCTTCGGGCTAAGCTAATGTTCCTGCTGGGTCGCTAAGGGAACTGGGGTCTATCAGAAAACAAAAGGTGGTCAAGACCATGCCAGATTAAATCAGTCAACGATTTAAATAGCACCTGGGGCTGCAATAAATTGTTCTTTATAGAGCAGCAGCTTTTATTGTGTCAGTAAAAACATTTATCAGCTGCTTGAGACAAACTAATAGCTATTTTCCCAATTATAGGGGGTGGGGGGGCAGGGAAAGAGATGATGAGCAAAGAGAGAAGTTCTACCAAGTAAGTGAATTCTGACTGAGCTCAGATCATAGAATCATAGAGTATCCGGGTTGGAAGGGACCTCAGGAGATGATTTACTTTCTGGACTTCATCCAAGCCTAGCTATTGTAAAGCACAATAAATCCCATTTTAATAATGGAAGATAACTCTTCATCACTAAAGAAACAATGCTATTTTTATGCCTCAGCTGCCAAACTAGAGTAGGAGCATCCCTCTCTTTGACACATTTACCTCTCTTAAAAAGCAGTTTCCTCTAAAATCTAGTGCCTTTAATTGTTTTATAAGAAAGCAGCATTAAAACCTGTGAGATTTACACTACCTCTGATGGACAGAATTACCATTGCAAAGATTGTGTGTTTGACATTCTTTGCTTTCCTTAGATGCAGCAATTGTGGACGTCACCCCTTCAGATCACTTGCTTGCCAAAAATTTCCATTTGGGAGTTTAACTAGAAAAATAAAGTGATGTGTGCAGGTGGGATGAGATGACGGCCGAGGGAGGCAAATGGGAGTAGAGCAAGGGTACCTGAGAACTTTATAAAGCACACAATGACAGCTATAAAGCACTATCTCTAAAAAGAAAATAAGATGACTGTCAGGAAAAGAAGAATAATTTCACCAGAAATCAGGACAGCTAGCTCAGTATATACTTGGATGAGTCACAAAGTCTCTAGGGGAAAATATATGCTTGAATGCTGGCCGGCTATGTCCTTGAACTCTGATTATGGTGAGGAGAGAAGAGGTGGCTGGATAGAAAAGAAAGAGTGAGAGGTTGATTAATGTTGTTGACTTTTTAATGGCAACTATCTTAAGGTACGATAGATGAATTGATGCTGTCAAAACAGGACTATTTGCCATGAGTAAGAACTATTTACCCAAGTACAACTTTATATTACGGGACCCTTAGGACATTCAATATATTCCTAAAGTGTGTGGTGGAGCAAAGAGATAGGCTTACTATTAATATTGCATTGCTCAGATGATTATCGTTTGAGTGGTCTACTGAATTGCCAAAATATTTAGAATGCCTTTGACAGAACTGGGGGGAAAAAAAAAGTCTTCCTGGATGGTGTCCTCAATAACTGGGACACAACTGGCTTGAAAGCAGAACAGAAATTAAAAATAAGCAAAGTAACCCCAAAGTCACCAAAGGAGGAGCCTGGATGGTGCATTGTATTTTGAAAGAGGAAAAGTGGAATTGTTGCATGTACCTTGTATCTGAACTCAATACAGAGCTGCTTTTGCTTACAGAATAGTAATTTGGAAGCATGTTTTCAACATTTATGCTGTCTGAAAAGTCAGCCAGAAACATGACAGATGGGGTTAAAAAAACATGGCAAATTGTAGTTGTATTCAGAGTTGAGGCATTAGTTATTTGCAGGAGAATTTTGAAAAACCCACACCACCACCACCACACCAGGTGATTTGGGAATAGGTGATTGGGAATAAAAACAGGCCATTACACTGTATTATGATTTACACTGCCTGATGTATATTTGTGAAAATGTACATTAGCAGATCATTTAAGGAAAAAAATATGCCAGAGGTTTATAATATAAAATAGTTTCCCACACTCATTTCAAGTTACATTATGGAATCCCCAGGGAGAATCCAGAATTTCTTTGAACATTTGGCTATTCAGAGAAGGAGGTTATTATAATTTCATCAGCTTTGACAGGGACAAGTTCAAGAAATGCTATAGTCCCTCCCAAGAGAAGTAGAGTATCATTTTCATTACATATGTAGAGTACAATATGGCTAATACAGACCAAATTCTGCCCAAAGTGTTCAGCATGATTCAGTGACCAATGGAGCTTTAAAGTGCCCTCCATTTCTCAGCTGGTGTTCTTCCTTGCATTGGACAAACATTGAGTTTCAGTTTTTTTTTTTTTTTAAAAGAAATATCTGGAGCCTTAAAATTCCACCTGTTCTGTAAGAAGTTAACAGCCCCCAACATTTAGTCCTTTGGGTTGAAAGGACATGAGAAGCTTCAGGGACAATGGCTAGTGAGAGTTAAAATACCCATTGAGCATCACATGCTGAACAGAAGAAATATAGGCCTGATTCTTCCAGCTTCACTCACATTTATTATCTTACTATCCCATTGCTATCCAATAATTGGCAGAACTGAGCCCTGTGTACATAGTATCCTATTAGTCCAAGTAACAAACAGTTTCACTTCCATTCTTCAGGAATAAAAAAAGTCTCGTCTGTCATTGCTGAATTGTACAGGATCATTATGTTGCATATATAAACACAATCATGTTAATATACAGTAATAAGTGCCATTTATTGTTGATACACAGTGGAGCTATCTAGCTGCCTCACAAACAAGAGGCAATCAAAACTCTTAATTTTAGCAATAGAAAAGCCTGCCAACAATATAAAAAGGAGTTCAGACCCTTTTTAAGACAGATAATTCCTTGTGTCTTCTCAAATCAGAACGAAACACAGTCTAAAGGTCTAAGGCAAAAATACTGACACTCTGCACCTGAAACCAAAAGGTGGCAAGCACCACCTGAGGAGTTTAAGCTGGAAGAAGCTTTTATCCATCTGAAACCCAGTCCACTATAGGCAGGAATACATTTTCCAAAGCAAAATATATAAGAAAAAAAAATCAGTTTACGTAATGTAAATTCTCTACATAAGCATGATTTGATACAACTGATCACAGGTATACAGCAAAGCAGTGAACGAGGTGGAAGGGTTGTACATTTAGAAATAGTAGATGCTACAATTCAATTAGCAGTCAGGGTTATCTTAGATTTCAAGTGGCTTTCCAACAGTTTCATCGCTAACACACCTGTTTCTTGGCAGACATACACGACACAGGACATTTTCTACAAGATTACACCAGTTTTAAAATTCCTGTCATTTAAGTACTGGGTCTATCCCGATTTAGTGTCCCATTATATTAATAAACTAAATACACTTGCTGTTCTTCTCGCTAAGGTCACCTAAATGCATTTATATTGGTTTGGAGGAAAATGAGCAGTGGCTGGCTGCCAACGTTGGGTTATTTTTGCACTGGGAAAGCAAAAATAAATTTCACTGTTTCTTCTTCCTTATGTAACTGTCCTGTATTTTTAATGCTCCATTCTGTGTTTATAGTACTTGAGGGAACAGAAAATACAAATGGCCAAATTCTGCTTTCAGATATTGTTTGTGCAACTGCCAAGGAGATAAATGGAAGCCATGTGCATGCATTTGAGAGCAGAATTGGACCCATACTTTGTGTAAGCATTATTCTCCTTTAGGGTTCACTGGCATACCATTGCATTGGGGTTGGTGCAAAGCCACTCCGGCATGAAGGGAGTTCCAGTGGCCGTCAGAATATCTCCTGAAGCCTGGCCTGCAAGGGAGTTTGCTGTGCACCCCCGGGATAATAGGAACAGAGTTGTCCCTAAACGCTCACTGTGCCTTGCCCTTATGGAAGTCTCCTTATACCCCTCCAAATCCCCCAGTATGCATCCCTTTTTGGGGACATGCAATCAGGTGTTAGGTGCCCCGTTATCATTGACTTTTAATAGGAGTTGGGCACCTAACTTCCTTTTGCACCTTTGAAAATCTCCTCAGAATTACTAAAATGTGTCAATTGGGAAAGATTGCTGTTTGGATTTATGGAACAGTCTCACACAGACCTTAGTGTCTATGGAGAGCTCCCAAGCCTGGCTCATCATATCCTTGTTAATATACGTAATTATGGTGACACCATCCTTTGGGCTGATGCATACAGAGGGAGATTTTTAAAGGCGCAAAGGACAGTTAGGTGCCTAACTGCCATTAGAAACTAAACTGCTACACAATACCTCATGTTAATATATATGTCCTATTTCTAGTGTTCACCAGTTCATTGATGGATATGCTCATACACTAGGCATCATACGTTGACGGATATAACAAAACAAAATTCAGTGCTACAAGAGTATTTCATCATCCACTATATTACTAAATCAGACAAGAACTGCGCAGTAAGAAATGAATACAAGCCTATAGGGTCAAGCCACCATGTGTCCATTGTGTAGGTCATGGAGAGACCACAAAATTCCATGGTCCCTGTGGGTAGCAGACAGGTTCTGTGGGAGGTAGGGACAGTGTCCATGGCTCCGCAACTAAGCTAATCCACTAGCCTGAAATTTTGCATGGTTTAGAGGCATGATTGCAATCCAAAGGGTGTATTAACAGCTGCAACACCTTGGGAAGAGTGGGAGGATTCTCCCTCTCCAGTGATCCTCTGCCCAAGACAGTTTATTTTGGCTTTGTGCAAGGCTCCAAAATTTGGCCCATAGAACATATATATTCGTGTCACTATTTGTAAATCAGATGAAGATCACTGCATTGAAACTACTGCTCTTCTGATTTCTCCTATACAATATACTTCCATTATTACTTACAGCTGTGGGCCACTGTATCATGGGGACAGCAAACATTTTACAAGACTTTTTGTCGTCACAAAAAAAAAGAAAAGAAAAGAAAAGAAAAGCACTTACCATAAAACCAGGAAACTCCAATTGCCTCCATTAAAACAGCAAACAGGATTGAAGTTCCAGCTGCAAATGTGTCCAGTAGTGTGAGGATGTAAATTCCTCCCTGTGGCATAAAAAAATCCAACAAGTATCATAGATTCATAGATTCCAAGGCCAGAAGGGACCACTGTGCTCATGTAGTCTGAGCTCCTACATAACATGGGCCAGAGAATGTCCCCAAAATTATTCCTGGAGCAGATCTTTTATAAAAACATCCAATCCTGATTTAAAAATGGTCAGTGAGGGAGAATGCACCATGAGCCTTGGTAAACTGTTCCAATGGTTAATGATTCTCAACATTAAAAACGTATGCCTTATTTCCGGTCTGAATTTGTTTATCTTGAATTTCCAGCCATTGGATTATGGTATACCTTTCTCTGCTAGATTGAAGAACCCATTATTAAATATTTGTTCCCCATGTAGAGATTTATAGACTAATCAAGTCAGCCCTTAAGCTTCTCTTTGTTAAACTGAATAGATTAAGGTCATTGAGTCTATCACTAGAAGGCAGGTTTTCTAATCCTTTAATCATTCTTGTGGCTCTTCTCTGAACCCTCCCAATTTATCAACATCCTTCATGAATTCCCCTGTTGATGCATTGTAGGGCTCCATTAGCCCTTTTGGCCACAGCATCACACTGGCAGTTCATGTTCCCCCAAATATCCACCACGACCCTCAATTCTTTTTCAGAGTCACTGCTTCCGAAGATGCAGTTTCTCCATCCTGTAAGTATGGCCTACATTCTTTGTTTCTAGCTGTACACATTTAGATGTAGCTGTATTAAAACTGTATAAGTGACCTGCCCTTTTCATTATTCACCACGCCCCCAATTTTTATGTCATCTGCAAACTTTATCAAGGATGATTTTGTATTTTCTTCCAGGTAATTGAAAAAATGTTAACTAGTGTAGGGCCAAGAACACATCCCTGTGGGACCCCCATTTGAAACACACTCGACGATGAGTCCTCATTTATAAGGCCTATTATTATCTGGGACATCCCTATTAGCCTTTTAAATATTGGCACATTTTCTTTCTTCCAGTCTTCTGGAACTTTCCCCGTGATCCAAGACATTGAAAATCAACATTAACTGTCTAGTGAGTTCCTCAGCCAGCTCTTTTAAAACTCTTGGATACATGTCATCTGGACTTGCTGATTTAAAAATGTTTAACTGTAATAGTTGCTGTTTAACATCCTCCTGAGATACTACTGGAATGGAAAGAGTGTTATCATCATCCGCTTCCCCCCCCAAAATACAGAATAGATATAGATATTGAACACTTCTGCCTTTCTGCATTATTACTGATAATTCTACCATTTCCATATAGTAATGGGCCAATACAATTGTCAGGATTGTTCTTCCTAGTATCCTTGTCCTTAACTCTGATGGTCATATATTTCTCTTTGTGTTCCTTTTCTTCCTTTATCAGTTTCTATAGTTCCTAGCTTCTGATTTATATTCATAATTATCAGCTTCCCCTTTCTTCCATTATTATACATTTTTATTTTTTATATTTACCATCACTTCCCCTCTAAACCAGGTCAATTTTTTAAAGCAATACAGCCTTCCTTGATTATGAGATTGTGACTTTTTGGGCATCTAGTTAAGTGTTCTTAAACAATCCCCAATTATGATTCAGATTTTTCTGATTAAATTCTTCCTCCCAGTTGATCTGGCTCATAATTGTTTTCCGCTTTGTGAAACTGGCCCTCTTAAAGCACCAAATATATATATTACTGGTCTGCTTCATATTGTAAATATGATCAAGTCATGATCACTTGTTCCTAAGCTACAATTAAGTTTTAATTCTTTGATCAGTTCCTCTTTATCTGTCAAGATTCGATCTAATATAGAATTCCGCCATGTTGGATGCAACAGCTTTTCATTTAGCAAATGGTCGTCTATAATATTTAGAAATTCCAAGGATATTTTAATACTGGCAGCATGAGACCTCGAGAATGTGTCACTCAAATTGAAATACCCCACGGTCACGCAGTTTTTCCCCCCTACACATTATGGTTAGAGCGTAAGGAGCTGGTCATCCCGTTCCCTAGTGTGATTTGCTGGTGTGTAGCAAATGCCAACTAATACTCCATCTTGTGCTTTATACATTAGGACACTGATTCATAAGCATTCAAGATAATTTTCCTTGGAGTTATGAGTGACTCAGAAACTGATAATGCCATTTTTGAGGTAGAGCGCCACTTCCCTTTTGCCCACTCAATCCTTCCTAAATAGGTTATAACCACTGCTTTTAATATTCCAGTCTTACACATCATCCCACCAGGTTTCAGTTGTACCAACTAGATTGCTTATTTATGAGCATAAATTCAATTTAAATTCAATCTTGTTTGTTATCCTGGTTCTGAGCACTGGTGTATAGGCAATTAAAGAATTTTTTCTCTTCATATCCTCTGCTTCCTTCATTAACTTTGTTTTCAACATCTTGATTCTGTGCTAAATGAGCGCTCATATTTTCCCTGTTTTTACTCTCCCCTTTCATTATTAGTTTAATGACCTCCTGTCTACTCTAGCCAGACTACCCCTGAGGAGATTGGACAGCCTCCACCAGTAGAAGGGGAAAGAAACTATACTGCCCCCTCTCCCTGTAGAAGGTCAACCAATGTACCACAAAACCAAAATCTCCCACCCTCCACCACTTAGCTCACTAGTGGTTCACTTCCAGAATCTTCTGCCTTCTGTCTTCCTTGTTTGTGGGACAGGAAGGATCTCAGAGAAGATTGTTTCGAGTTTATTCTTCTTCAGGACACTTGCAAGTTCCCTGAAGTCATCTATTATCTGGGAGATGTCCAATGATGCCATGTCATTAGTGCCGAAGTGAATCGTCATGAATGGATCCTTGCCCATTGACTTCAGAAGCCTATCCAATCTTGAGTGAGGTCTTCTGTCTTGGCTCCAGGAAGACAGCACACTGTCCTGTTATCCATCTGTCCCTTGCAGAATGATCTTTTGGTTCTTTTGAGTACAAAATGTCCAACAAGGATCATCAGTCTTTCTTGGACAGTTGGAGAACTCTTTGTGGATATGCTTGATTTTCATACTGGTTGTCCTGTACATCTTTCCATTCTCTAGGACCAGCTGGATCTTGAGAGGAATCTTCTATAGTTTCCATACTGGAGGACCTGGTATTGATTGGAAACTTCTAACTGTGTGGAATTCCTCCTGGTCGTCATCTCTCTGGTGGCCTCAGCCTATTCATCCTCATCTGTCTCCAGCTGTGAGAATGCTAATATGATCTCTTGCCTCTGGTGGTTATGAACTGCCAGGCCTCCTCTCTGATTTCCTGTTTCCCTGACTTTTTGGTGGTCAGCTCCTTTCCTCCTTGAACCTGGGGGTATGGATGCTTCCCAGACCTGTCTAGGAACTCCTCTGCTTCTCAGTAGCATCTCTATTTACCCCTCCAGTTCAAGAATGTTTTCCTCCAGCACAGCCACCAACTTGCACTTCATGCACAGGGAATGTGCTTCTTGTTTCAGCAGGAAAGAAAACATGGCAAATCTGCTGCGGGTCACCACCACTGTTCCATCACTGGTCATCTTAAAATCAGACGTAGAGTTGAACCTGGAAGGAAAGCCTCTCACATGCCCTCTCTCAACTCTGTCCAAAACGCTCCTGTTAGCTGCCTCTGTTCGTGGCCTTTGAATTTGCCAAGCAAGTGATTTTTTATACCAGATCTCCCTGTTTAGCTCAGTTCAGCTTCGCCGCCACCACCAGGGCGTGATTAACTCCTCAGGTTTCAGAGTAACAGCCGTGTTAGTCTGTATTTGCAAAAAGAAAAGGAGTACTTGTGGCACCTTATGCATCTGATGAAGTGAGCTGTAGCTCACGAAAGCTCATGCTCAAATAAATTGGTTAGTCTCTAAGGTGCCACAAGTACTCCTTTTCTATTAACTCCTCAGAGACTTCAAATAGCAGGGCTCATCAGAGCTCTTAAAGAAACAGTTACAATTCTTTTACTTTCAAAGTTTATCCTCCAGGTACCAGAGGTCTGATATGTAGAAATATAATAGTCTCAGTATGTTTAACCAAGGAGTGGAAAGCTTGGGCATCCCTTGGTCTGCATGGGAAATGGTGGGTTTGAATGAACAACCCTTGTAAATGGGCTTAGCCTTCACCCACAAAATGGGACCTAAAAAATGGATGGAATTCTTACTTAGCTCCTCTGGAGTGGGAGTTGAGGTCTCTCAGTGCATTGCAGAACTTCTCAGCAACCTGCAGGATTGAGCCTAAACTACAGCTAGCATAGAGTTACTTCTCAAAGGCATTGGTGTGTCACAGTCATGGCTGCTACCACTCCACTTCTTCCCATAGCCAGGTTTGAGGTCCAGTGGATCTGCAGTCTTGGATCCAATGTTCTATTCCTGTGCTCCTGTAGAGTGGCCTACTGCATACAAATGGCTGTGAAGTCTCCATTGCCTGCTCCCCTGTACAGTAGGAGAGCCCTGGCTATGCTGTGGTTTGAGTCTTTTTCTGTGGCTGAAGTGTGGTGACAGGATTTCACCCTACATAAATATCCCCTCTCCTCTGAAATATACATCCCCTAAAATGCATTGATTTGGAACTGTAAGTTGCATTTACGAGATTCTTGCAAAATTGTTTTTCAGACACTCTGAGCTGGATTTGACTTTGTTTTATTTGATTGGTGTTTGAGTAAACTATTAAATGTCTAATTTTATTAAATGTCTAATTTTATTTAGTGTAGAGTGAAGAGAATGGGGGGGGGTTGTTGGCAGATGGAGCTCCCTATCATTTTGAAATGAAGCAAAGCAGAATATTTTAAGACATTGTTACCATTTCATCCTAGCAAACAGCGGAGAGAACTTCCAGCCATGGTAGATTCTAACAATCTTATTTATAAACAAACCCACTATGAATATGCCTGCTTCTTGTGTAGATTTTGTTTTATAGTATCTTTAACAATTTTAAAAAGGGGATAAATACCATTCGTTTTGTAGATTTGATGATGATTTTACTCTGTTTAATCAACAAAGACATAGTTTAGCTTTTCTCTTGTTATAGCATACAGAGACTTTCTACCAGAGGTGTCACTATTTACAGTAACCAATGGAGACAGCTGTCGAGGCTTTTCTGAGTTATAAACTCTGGAGATCTGGCCAAAGTTTGGATTAACATGGGGCACCTAACAAACTGAATGGCAAATATTTTAGCAAGAAGCAAAAGACTGTTTATTGAATGGTGTTTTAGGTGAGAAAATCTGCTCCACACCTGTTCATTATTTGAATGCCTTTATTTTAGAAATCCAGCAAGGTGGCTGATGAAAGGTGTGTGTATGAAAAACAGACTGCTTCAAAAATAGATCCCAAAGATTTTCAAGGGGAAATTCAACTGATTATTTTATCTCTATGGTCTCACAGGGGTTTTAATTTCTACTTTGTACACATGTGACATCAACTTTTTCTGTTACATGAACTTATGTCTTGGTACCTGTCAAGGCAATTCAGTGCAGTCTAGTTTGTTTGAGAATTTAATCCCACAGAGGTGCCATAATTTGAAAGACACTGAACTAGATTCTCATGTGGTCTGAACTGACATCGTGCTGTTGAAGTAAATGGAGTTACACCAATTTAGACCAGCTAAAGATCTGACCCATTGTGTTTCTTCAAACCCATTGGTCCAAGCCTATTGTTAACCCAGATGAAACCTTGAACAAGGAAGTAGTATGTCCAGCTGCATTAGATGACAGAGAAAGCTGAAAAATGTAAAAAGAGTCAATATGTATTATTAGTATAAATTATCTGTATTATTAATGTAAGACTTACTTTTAGTCTTTGAAAACCCTTTCTAGCTAATGAAACACTGTAATGAAAAAAACTACCAGGAAAATGCATTTTGTTAAACTTTAAAACTTCTGTATTATTCACTAATTGGTACCATTTTAATAACTTTCTGCTAACTTGTTGATCTGTGAGTCAGTGGAATGCTGATAGACAGGGATGTGGTCATAGTATCCCAGCACTGGTGCGTTCATTATGGCTACCTAAGGTATAATGCATATGGTAGCATTATGGGGTGCATGATCAGCAGTGGCCCTCACCTTCCTGGTACTAGTTGGCATACAGAGAAGAGCAAGGCCAGCGCAGAACAGACATATCCTCTCTGGTGTGTTGTGCTGCCAGGACTTGCAGTGCCTCGCTCCTTTGCCCGTAGACAGCAAAAACAGCCACGGTATGACTGCCACCTGTGCAGAGGGTTCCCTGCACCCTTTCCCCACCTCCAGCGCGTCTATGCAGCCATTATTTTTCTGCTTTCTATTTGTAATGTAGGGAGCAGGTTGCATTATACCTCCGATATTCAAAAATAGGAAGGTTCCTTCACTGAAATGCATCCAACCCAAAGCATTAGTAACTATGATCTGCTACGCTGCCAAGCTATTATCGTGTTCTGGAAAGGGTGATAGGATTATTGTACTGAAGTGTAGTTTTACAAGAAGTAAATGCTTCTTATTGATTAATTATCTTGTTCTGTTGTGAAGAGAGAGTTTTCAGATGCTTACGGGTGTGATCCCCAAAACGCTTTCCCCTACACACAAGAGTAAGCAGTGACCATAGTCCCATTTCAGATGATCAAGCTGGGGTAAGCATGATGCATGAGAATAAAGGTTTGTGAGATCAATTGATAGATAATAGCCTTGTAAAAAACAGGAGGGGAAAGGCATCGTTTATAGAAGAATTAATATAATATTCAGACAATAATGTTGGTTATAATTAAACTTCCCAGGTACACAAAGAGATAAATCCCAGCCTACAGTAATTCTGTCTCTTTTATAGGAATAGTTGCATTGTTAAGTTAACTTGCTAATGGAAACTCTTGCAGTACTTACATTGGTGATACAAAAAAGAGCCACCAGGAAAGTGCCAAAGGAGACGCCAAATGTGAAAAGCTTTCTGTGCCGCTTCAGTATTTGGAAATCATCTGCTAACCCAGTGATGACAGCTTCCATTCCACCCATCTAAGGAAAAGGATTACAGCAATCTAAGTTAGGCAATAATGACAGAGACATTTTACCCACAAACAAACAGAAGGGTATAAATAAGTTTGAGATTCATCTCTATTTCCTTTTGTGATTTCTAGCATTGATTGAGTTTCTTCTCTTTAGTTAAAAGGTGTTATGCCTTCTGTAAAATGTGCATATGATTTCACTCTGGACTATTCTTCCTTGTTCTTGTTCATACTTGCATATAGTTGAAGTGTTAGAAATCAGAATAAATAGGTCTCAATTTCCCTCACCTGGTGGCTGCTGTTTTTATTGATAAGGAACAGTAAAATGGAGATTGGAGCTAAACAATGTGGCAAATCAAACAACATTGTTACCTTTGTATATTGGGGATAGAGAGACAACCCTTAATACTGAGAATTTTATAGTAACAAAAATTCTTGATGATACCATAGAAGAATATTAGTTTGCCCTCTGGACGTAACCACTATATGCTAGCCATTTTTTGCTGTTGGGAGAAATTGACTGTGGTAGCTGAAATGTTTTCCAAGCTTTCATTGATCCTCCTGTAGAATACAGGTTCCTGATCATGAGCTTTATGTCCTGTGCTGTAATGCAAGCATTTTGGGTTTTTTTTTGTAGGGTTAGATCAGAATGACTCCAAGTCTCCTTCTCAGAGCCAGCCGTCAGTGTTTTGCTGCCCAGGTCAGAAAGGATTTTTGGCACTCCACACAGCTGAGCAATAAATAAATAAATAAATAAATAACCAAGCAGTGGTTTCCCCCTCCCTCCCATGCCTGTCCTGCTGTTGCTTTGGTGATCCTGGAAGCTCGTGCCCAGGGCAACCACCTGATTGCCAACTCCCTAAGGCCAACCCTGCTCCTGCTAGGGATGAACAAGCCATCTTAATTTGTTTAAGAATCAGTTAAGTAGTTGGGAAGACTCAATATAGGATATTTCCTGCAAATGGAAGAAAAATGTGGCAAATACTTGGGGATTGGGGGAGAGGGGGCAGCAGATTGGAGACAACAACATCTCTGTTTCAAATCAATTGCTGAGAATAATCTCTGTAGTATCTGAATGATTCACTTCTGAAACCAGAGGACTGCAGAGGGAAGGGCAAACATTCTTTTAGCAAATCTGACACTCGAGTAAAATGTCAAAGCTGAGTGTGGGGTTTTATCCATGTGACTTCTGTAAGCATCAACAGGAATCATACAGTTAAATCTCAGTGCACTGCTTAAATATGGGTTCATATTTTTTGTGGTCACAAAGATTTACAACACTGCTACTTTGAGAGACTCAGAGAAGTTAGAAGTGGAAAAGTAGCCTTCAGATTCTCTACTCCATTTTATCAGTTCAGGACTGCTTCCTAATCTAGTGCTTTGTTCATCCCCATTGTTAATATCCTATGTAGAGATGGTTGCATGCTGAAAAAAACATTACAGACATTCACTCTAATTCCTAATCCCATTAGTTGGCTGTCCACTAACACATTCATAAGGAAGTTTCTCTTTCCATAAACATTTGGGGGCGTTCCAGAAAACTGTCTCCATATGTCAATAAGGGGTTTTGTGCACGAACAAGGGTGTTGATGCATTATTCCTCTATTTTTTTTCTAGTTTATTTTCTAATCAGGGATAACCAACAGTATCACGTGTCCTAGGTGACCGAGCTCACAGCACGTAGAGTGGGTAATCAAGGGAAACAGTCTGCAAACAACCCCACAGTTGCTTGCATAAAACCAGTAAATAATTATGAGCAGCAGCTGCTTGATATGGCATTGATGTAGCTGTGGTGGTGCACAGAATGGAATTCATCTTGAACGGTCCCCTGGAAGACTTCTCTTTCAGCAAGAGTCAGTATGGGCATGGGGGTAGGGTGCCTATCCCACACAAGGCCTGACTAGAGAGAAAGGGACAATTAGCTCTGTGACAGGCTGCGCCTGGAGGAGAGTCAGGGCTGATAAGCTTTTAACTGATGATGAAGCCCAGCTGAGCAAGGAGAAGGCTAAGCTGCTATAAAACCAGGAAGTAGAGAGCAAGATGGAGGCTGCAATACAGAAGGCCTGCAGTCACTCTTTGGGCTTACAGAGGGAAAGGAGCAAACCAGGGGGAGAATAGAAGCCCTGAGACCCAGGCCCTGAAGGAAGGGCGTGCACAGAGAAGGGTGGAGAAGGAGCCTGATAGAGGCGAAGCAGGAAGCAGCCCAGGGAAACAGCAGCAAGGTTTAGGATATTGAAGACCTTAGCTGGGGAAGTGGCACAGGCTGGACAATGGAGCAGAAGACTGCCTGGGAAAGTCATCCAATGGGACTTGGATACCCTGGAAGGACAAAATGATAGTGACCTGGCTGGAGGGCTCAGCCATGAAGGGGGAGCACCCTGAGTGATGAAGAGGAAGTGACTCCAGAAAAAGAGTGTGAGATCATGGGGCAAGAAACTGAAGGAGGGGGCATCAGAATGGGTGTGAGCTCATCCCCAGATGGGCCACAAGGACACTACACAGCAGTGAGCAGAGCACCTCATGATAGGGAGGATTTAGGATTCTTAAATCCCTCAAAATTGCATCTTCCAACCTCCTTCATTCACAGTTGGCTTTGTGTTCTGCTTCCTTCAGCCTCAACTCTACAAAACTTCTGTAAAACCATACCTTCTTCTGTACATGACCCCACAATTGCAGTGTCATCTTGTTCTCAACTTGTGCGAGACTGCAACTGGCCAGGATCATCTAAGTATCTCCTTGTCTGTGACAAAAATCAAACCAATGGATGTTAAGAATCCACTGTAACTTCTGACTCTGAAAACTGTTTAGATTCCTCTCCTCAGCTGTTTTTAATGGCCATGTTTTGTGCTCCATATAGCAGGGTAATGAAAGCAAAGCTCTGCATGTCTCTATAAAATGAATGACTTGCGGATGGTGCACGTAGATGGCAATGACATTGAATGGGGGTAAATACTTTTCTATGTCTGGCTAGTTGATTGATTGACACAGGCGGTTCTATAACCGGAGGAGTCACACTGGATTGGTCTTCCCCCCGTGGCATGTCAGTGTCTTCAAAGGCCTTTGACTGGGTGATGGGATGTCACTAAGATAGAAGTGTTGACAACTCCCCCTCTCTTCCCCTGTGAGAAAATAATTCTGAACAGCAAATAAATAGGCAAACATCAAAGCCTGACCAAGAACAGAAAATGCTAGACTTTCCACAGTTTATCCACTTTGAGTAATTTGATCCCCTTCCACTGAAAAATTATTATTCTACAATTTAAGGTGCCGACCCTTCAAACATTTACACATGTGCTTTACCATGGTAGAGTTAAACAAATCCCTAAATGTTTGCATGATTGGGCCTAGTAGCGCTCAACCTATAATATACAACCTAGATTTTACTTTTCTTAATTTTGACTCATAACTACTGGTTATTCTTGCCACCCTAATCTACTCTTCTCCTTCCTTCATGTTTGTTTATGGTACAAATAGGTCCAGACTGGAACCCCAGATCTGACTTTGCCTCAAGTTTTTAGAATAAGGTTCCAGAGTCTCAATTTTACAACTTGATCTAATCACTAGCAAGCCTGAAGTGAAATCCAGAATTCAAAGAGCTGGGAAGAGTTCACAGCTGGAGCTGAACTTCACAGCTCTGACCCCTTCTAGAATATGTCCTTCAAATACTTGCAGATGACTATCAAAGCTCCTTTGTGTGATCTCTTCTCCCCGCCCCCGCACCCCCAGCTTTGTTCCCTCTCTTGTCTCTGTTTTTCCTTCCCTTTCTATTTCTGAAAATGAGTGAACTTTCTTCTTGGCAATTCTTATTTTGGAATAGTAAAAATTTCCTCATGAACATGACTAGACTGTTCACAGTTCTGTTCTTTAAAGATGCTATTTACTTTTCCCAGAAGAAAATTAACTTTTATGTTAAGTAGAAAAGGAAGTCTTGATTCCTCTTTGGCAAGAATACGGTGGTAGAAGTGCTGTTAGGGTACTTAGAATATTTCATCTAGGGTTGAAGTTTCTCTTATCTTTTTTTATCCCAGGACAATATACTTTCACTTTGTAGAAAGCACAAATATTCCCCCTTCATGTTGAATGAAGTTCAGTCCTAAATCTAAAACTGAATTTAACTGTAAAATGAGGCAGCCCATCTTAGTGCTCATTTTTTACCATTCCTAAATATCTATTATCTGTCAACATACAGATGACATTGTTGCCTTTTGCCAAGACACCTAACAAACACAAAATAATAGTGTAAATGAAATTGATTTTTAAAAAATGATCACAATGAGACTATTGTTATAAGGAAACTATCTTACATACAGTTCCATATTATAGGAAATCAAAGATATAATTAGATTCTATCCTCAGCCTTTGTGTCATGAGTATCACTTAGGATGTCGTGGGAAATAACAAATACAAATCTCTAATACAAAATAGTACAGAACCATAGGCAGGCAATTTAGCATCTTGTTCCCATGCTTTTTCCAAGTTCATTTTTAGGCTCTGAGTATGCTGCTGTAGAAATGAATGGTAAAATTCTCATTCGAGTCAGTGATGCAGTGTGCTTAAAGTGTAATAACTTTGAACCCAACCCAGAATCATGGAAACCAGCAAACTGTGTTTGCTGGTTCATAAACTAGATGGCCCTTCACAAGACTTTTGCACACTATGAATCTATGATTAAATAAACTGCTGAGTGCAATGCTACTTAGGTAAGGCCAATTCATAGGTAATTGGCCTTACCTATGAAAACAGATACATTGAGAGCACAGCATGTGGCTTCTGAAACCTAGTGGAATCAGACTGCTGCCTCCGTACTTATTACCAGAGAATGTTATTAAAAGAAAAATGACAGGCATGGAAGATACGCACAGAACTGTCAATGCCCAGTGTGAGAAGCATTATGAAGAACACCACTGCCCAAAATGTTGATCCTGAAAGGGTTGAAATGGCTTCTGGATAAAGGATGAAAACTAATCCAGCTCCTGAAAAGCAAGAGGAAAGAAAAACTCATTTCTGCATGGAGGCTTTTGTTAAATTTTTAAAGCTATAAAAGGTTCATGAAAATAAGATTTGACCTACCTAGATTCTTATATTGGTGTCCCTCACCATAGTATCTGAACAACTCAGACTCTGGCTGAGTCAATGAAGTCCTCACATCATGGTTTAAAGATTTCAAGTTACAGAGAATCCACAATTTATACTAGTTTAAACCTGCAAGTGACCCATACCCCATCCTGCAGAGGAAGGTGAAAACCCCCCAGAGTCTCTGCCAATCTGTTCCAGGGGAAAATTTCTTCTCGATCTCAAATATGGTGATCAGTTAGATCTTGAGCACGTGTCCAGGACCTACCAGCCAGACACCTGGGAAAGAATTCTCTAATAACTCAGAGCCCTCTCCATCTATTGTCCTATCACTAGCTGTTGGAGATTTTTGCTGCTAGCAGTTGCAGATAGACTACATGCCATTGTAGGCAGGCTCATCATACCATCTCCTCCATAAATTTATCAAGCTCAGTCTTGAAGCCAGTTAGATTTTTGAAGCCATTCTCAGGCCCAGATGCACAAAGGTACTTAGGTGTTGCAACTACAGAGTCAGTCTCACAATCTATCTGGCCCAATTAATTTTTTTAATGCAAAGTGGAATTTTTTCAACAAGAGAGACTGAGAGACACATCGGAATATCCCAGAGTGCAGTGACTACAGCACTCACCTGAGAGGTCAAGAACCTCTCAAACGCCTTCAAATCCCTTGCCCTGATGAAGAATAGGGAGGAATTGAATCAGGGTCTCCCATATCCCAGGTGAATACCTTAACCCTTGGCTAAATGTTATAAGGAAGGCCACCACTTCCCACTCACTCCACAACATTTTATGTGGAGTTGGGGGTCCCTAGCCTCTGTTTGCTAGAAGCTGGGAATGAGTGACAGGGGGATGGATCACTGGATGATTACCTGCTCTGTTCATTCCCTCTGAGGCACCTGGCACTGGCCACTGTCAGAAGACAGGATACAGGGCTAGATGGACCCTTCGTCTGACCCAGTAGGGCCGTTCTTATGTTCTAGATCGGGCCCTGCAGGTGAGCTGGCAGGGAAATGCCTATCTTTATCTGGTTTGAGGGTTGCACTGAGGCTTAGGTATCAGGCAGGTACCTGGACACCTGACTGGGTCAGCAGTGCTAATACCCAGAGGCAGAAACTTAGGCACCAAGGGAACTTTTACAGTCAAAGTTCAGGCATGGAGCGAATTTAGGGGTTGGTTATACGGATCACAGGAGTGTCTACACCTGGAATTTAGAAGCCTAAGTCTCTTTGTGGATCTAGGCCTCAAATCGTAACCATGAACCTGATATTCTTACCTATTTATTTCCATTCCTTGGCTCTGTGTAGGAGAGGGCCATATTTGAACGTTGTTGAGGCAGGAACCTATGGAACTAGCCAGTAGTCTCAGTAGATTATGTATGTGTTCAGTACAGACCTGCCCCTTTAACGTGTTGCGTGCTTCCAGCCAGGGGCCAAGCACCCTCAACTCCCTGGAGCTTGGACCACTCAACGCCTTGCAGCGACTACAATTCAACAACATGCTTACACCTGTGCCTGCCTTGGAGCGCTTGAGTGGCCCCATTCAGGTCACAGCTCACGTACCCAGAGTTGGCATGTGCCATGGCATGAGCAGGCAGACACATGAGAGCTCTGTCCCAGCTACTGCATCAAAACCAGTGGTGTAGCCGGGGATAGCACAGGCAGGAGCTCAGGCTACCGGCCTGAGTACAAACCCGCCCAGCCCCCAGAGTACGTTCTTGGGCAGCTAGCCCAAACCACCACCTGTGCTCGATCCAGCTACACGGCTATTTTGGGAGTGTTAGCTCAAGCAAAGCTAGGGTGTCTGCCAATTCACAGTGGGAAGCATGCTCCCAATTGCAGTGTAGACGTACCCTAAGTGGCTTGCTGAATCAGGGCCACAGCTGAGTCCCTTGTAGGTGGGCTTCTTTGTCTTGTTTAATTTGAAATGAACATAAACAAATTTGCAGGGCAGCACTGGAGCAGGTGGTTAATTTTTCAGTAAATCTGGAGTAAAATGAACTTCCTACCTTCAGTGGCTACATCTTCAATTTTTACTTTGTGCTCATGAGCCATGTAGCCCAGTATGGAGAAAATGGCAAATCCTGAGATGAAGCTTGTGACACAGTTGATTGTGCTAGTCAGCAAAGCATCCCTAATATGAGAGAGAGAGAGAGAGAAGAACGATCTAGTGAAAAGCACTTTAGGAAGTAGGTAGGAATTGTGTTATTATGGCAATAAAATTCTGGTGGAAAAGAGAAACATGCCAATTAAGTAATCATCCTGATGATCAAAGGCTCATACGAGCACATTGTGCTGCGAAAGACTCACTGTTATTTCCTAAATTGTTTTGAAATTAATCTGTGTTCAAAAATTTAAAAAAACTATAATAAATTGTAAGATGGTCTTAGCTGGCAACAATAATGGAACAGGGAAGTAACCAGAAGTGAACAAAAGGTTACACGGGGAAATGAATACTAGCAAATACCAATCGATACCTATAAACAATTGTGAATGTTTTCAGACAACATCAGGTATGCATTTTAGTGAACTTTGATGCCATTTTCAAGGTATTGCATAGAATCTGTTCATCAATCCTTCCAGTTAAGCAGGCATTTCAGATAAGGTGCATGGAAAGACCTCATCCGGCTCCCATTGAAATCAATAGCAAAACTCCCATGAACATCAATGAGATTGGAATCTGACCCAACCATCATCATTGTATAATATAAAGAGGTAACCATCAGTTTAGTCATGAATCTGACAAAAATGCTGATAACTTTATTATTAATCTGCTATTGTTTTAGATCAATGACAGGACCCACAAAGGAAAATCCAGATTCAGCCCTGGGAGTTATCACAGAAACATAGAATATCAGGGTTGGAAGGGACCTCAGGAGGTCATCTAGTCCAACCCCCTGCTCAAAGCAGAACCAACACCAACTAAATCATCCCAGCCAGGGCTTTGTCAAGCCCAACCTTAAAAACTTCTAAGGAAGGAGATTTCACCACCTCCCTAGGTAACGCATTCCAGTGTTATGTACATTTATGTCAAAATTAAATCTGGCCACAGTTGTCAACATTAATTTGGAATGTCAGCCCCATCCTAATACACGTATTACAACTGGTCACCTGGTTCTGAACTTCAACTTTTAATTGAACATTTTTTGTTGAAATTCCAAATGTTTACAAAAAGAGGAGATTGCTCCTCCCCACCCTCCATTTTGCACTAGCTCTAGCATTTATTTGTGGTGCGTACATTAATGCAAAGAAAGTGATCATAATTTGTTAGGTATTTAATGAGTCAGAGGCTGAGAATGTTTCCCCCTTTCCTCCCCATTGTTAAAGATCAGTAACAGCAAGATTTTATAAACCTCATTGTCTTTTGCAAGGCTGTCATCTTCATAATGACACCTGCAAATATACCTCACGGGCTGTTCGCTGTAAACTGCTCTGTTCAAATTTTCTCTAGCAAATCTGTCCTTCATACATTTTTTTTTTTTAAAGTTTAGCCAGCTCTTCCATGTAAACTTATGGTAATACATTCCCCCAGAGTACAGGAGAAAGTTCCACCTCAGCGTGATAATTCCCCAGAACTATGAATGTTTGATGTTTAGTGGCATCGGGGAGCCAGCTGCAGCAGGATCAGTCTCCTAGCAACACACTGGGCATAGCTGACCCTAGCAGGAACTGCTCTGCCTCATTGACTGTACTTCCACCGTGACCCAGTAGTGGCCAGAGCTTGCCGGCTGCTCACCGCATTGCACACTGCAGCTGTGCTGAACCCTGCTTCCTGTGCCTTTTCTTTCTCCCATCCAGCCTATGCCTGCCCATGCCCAGCCTCCTCTTGTGCCCACTTCAGTTCCTAGCCTTCCCCATCCTTGACGCCTTTGGCTCTGACCCCCAGCTCAGCTCCCTGACCGTGTCTCCAGCTAGCCCATTGGCTCTGGCATCCGTCTTCTGATCCCTGTGTCTGACCCTCAGCTTTGCTCCCGTCTACACCCATGGTTGTCCTTTGGCATTGATTCTTGACTCCGTGCTAAGCCCCAGACCAGGCAACCCCTATGACTCCGACTGTTAGGCCCAACCACCCACATCCTGTTCATGATCCTGACAAGTGGCATAAAGACAAGCCTTATGCAAAATGTAAGTAATATGATTAATTGGCTAGTCATGTCATGAACTCCATTCCACAGAGGATTGTTCAGTACTTTCAGCCTTAAGTATGCAATACCCAGGCTTCACAGGCCCCTAGTTAAAATCAAATGAACCACAACAGGGTTGTCAAAATAGATCTGTTTTACAAGTAGATATAATGAGTTCCATACAGTCTGCTGTTGGAGAAGACCTTTAAAATTGAGGTCCTGTCTCCAGTGTGTAGACACCAGTCATACACCATAGTGCTTTTGTTAATGATAGAGTTTGCCTTAGCCAGAGTTTCCACATCTGTCACATTTAATTACCTCACTGCACCCAGATTTGACTGTATTTCTGTAGAGCAGTGTGTACATAAGAGGAAGGACTAACTCAGGCCTATATACTTGTAAAATTTTCTTTGGACTCCTTCAGGAGAAAATTTGCCAAGTATCTGCAGGGCTGAAAGTAACTTAAGAGACTTACCGGTACACAGGGCCGGGGTCTTGAGCAAGGTGTGTGTATGTGTGCAGGGGGTTGGGGGTCACTCGGGCGGAAGGGGCAGGGCCTTGGGTGGAAGGGGTGGGGCCTTTAAATCCCCGGGCCCTTTAAATCACCGCCGGAGCCTGAGGGCTCCTGGCCACTACCACTATCCCGGGGCTCTGGTGGTGATTTAAAGGGCCCGGGACTCTGGCTGTGGTAGTGGCAGCCGGAAGCCCCGGGCCCTTTTAATTTTTCGGCCTGGGGAACCTGCCCCCTGCCAGTATGGTTGGCTGTGTATCGGCTCTTACCAGTATGCCGGACCGGACCGGCTTACCTTCACCTCTGAATATCTGTGAAATATTATGGCCAAGGTCATCATTACCATTTCCCTCAATTCCAGAACATTCACATGTAAGTAGCTTTTTCCATTTGCATCATCAACCACATACTTTACCCCATTTTTAAGCTGACAGATTTACGTGCAAAATATAGAAGTTGACAAAATGTTGTGTTGCAATGCTTCAGCACTTCAGACTCTCTGGCTCTGATTTGCCACTGTGTTGCCCCAGTTTTACACCTGCGTAACTATTGATTTCAATGGAGTTCCACTGGCGTAAAACAACTGGAGCAATATAGTGGTGAATCATGCCCTTTATTTGGAAATACAATGCTAATTTAAATGTGTTTTGTTCCACTTCAGTAAAGCGTTGCCAATGTAATAAAGATGTCACTGACATACTCCACAGTATTTTACCAAAGAATGGATTCATTTAAGTGTCAATTGTCTTTGAATGGAAGCTGGTTTATAGGATTAAAGATAAAACATAATATTTTAGAAACACTGCAGATCGCTCTACAATACAGCCAGAGTGATTCTGGTAAACTACATAAGACAAGTGTAATAAGCTCAGCACAGTTTAATGTAATTTGAGGTATTGCCTCAAGGCATTTATTTTAAGTTCCAGAGTGTATTTCATGGCAAATTTACTCAGGGTACAGAATAAAACAATTATGTAGGAAACATCTTAAAGCCAGGCTTCCTAGAAATCTGTAAGATTAATGTTAACCTAATTGTAGAATGCAATGATTGCCACTTTGGAGAATAGCTATTATTAGAGGTGTCATTTTTACTACAGCATTACCCACATTAATGTCACCTAACATGAAAACCCACTTGTGAATCTAAAGTTACAGTGGGCTTGGTCCAAAGCTCACTGAAATCAATTGGAATCTCTCCGTGGACTTCAAAGGACTTTGGATCAAACCCTGTGTTCAGAGAATTGAACAAATTTAACAGACCATTCCAGCAAACTAAAATCTCTATAGTCTTTTGTGCTTTTTATGGACTGCTATAGGCGTGTTTGTTAAAGGCATGGTAGGTGCCCATTTTCCTCTTTATGGTAATATATACAGTACTACTATATTCCAGCAAATTTTAGGAAAACGATATATTGCTAAACTAGGCTTACCATTCAAGTGTCACAGTGTGTCTGTGCAAGTCCTTTTGGTGAGACCCGTGACTAGGCTACTGGCCCAGGCAGGGAATAAGGGCGCCCTTATACCCCTTCATGGGCTTCATGCTACTACACGCCTAGAGCAGGGGGGAGTGGCGTGGCACTGTGATTGAGAGGTCTGTCTCAAATACTTCTGGGATGGTGCAGCTTATGCACCACTCAGGGCTGTTTCTACAGTCACCACCCTTTGCTTCCTAGCTTTTACTCACAGATGTTTTCAAAAGGAGCTACTGTAGGTAACTGTTAGCACCCAGCCCAGGACTATCTAACATGCAGCGATGTTCTCTGATGCTTTCTATTATGGGTATGTTCAGGCACTCCAGTTTATTCCTCTGGTGAGGCTATCTTACAGGAACTCCATTTTTGTTGTCTTTTTGCATTACAAATATTCTGGATTAAAATCCATATTTTTGAATAAAATTCTAAACTGGATTTACAAGCAATGCATTATTAAACCCGAAAGACATTTTAGAGTTTACTTGTCATTCTTTGTGCTTCTTGCACTTCTCTTAGGTTGGGCATTTCAAAGAGACTAGTCAGTCTGGCCTACAAATGCTGACCCACACACACAAACACTAGGCAAATGAAATGCCCCAGAATGTGAGTCCTTTAAAGCCAAACTAGCCACAATAATGGAGACCTTGGGGAAACACTTTAATTAAAATTTGTACAAAAAAAGTATCCCTTTGATCGGTAAAAAAACCCTTCAAAATTCAAAGTTTTTCAGCTAGTTCCTTTCTTTAGGTCTTTTTGATAAAGCAGCATAGTAGACACACACAGAACAACTAAAACACACATTCAAATGATTGACATTAAAATGTAAAGTAACAGTGTCTGTCTCTTACTATTTCTCTGTACAGTGCCTCCCACAATGGGACCTCCAGCCCTGGTTGGGACCCCTATGCACAATGGCCCTGATTCAGCAAAGCACGTATGTACATGTTGAACTTGAACTATGTGTTTTGCTGAATCAAGGCCTACTGAAAAAAAAATCACAAATAGGTAATCTGGAAACATAAAATCCCTTTAGGATTTGACTCTAAACTCCTCGTTTCTGTTAAACTTGAACAAACGAGGAAACATCCTCCTGCTTCTCTGGGGTTGTGGACCAATCAGATTTCATTGAATATTCTCTCTTGTCTCTAGTGCTACTTGTGAAAGACAAATATAATTGCAGTTTACACAGCTTTCTAAAATTAATCCTATACTGTTGCACAGGAGAGCCAATAACTTTGCAGGTTCTTACTGCTGAACTTTCAGCAAAGAAGTACTTTGGGTGTGTTTGGGTCACGTTTTGGGTTGGTTCTCATGTCCAAATCAGAATGCCAGTCAATAATAAAATCACAATTAAGTGAATGAAGTACACTAGTGCATATTAGGTTGTAATTATCAGTTCCACTGGCTAAATAAATAACAATAAATAATAGAACATACCTGTTACCTGTATAACGTACTATTATATAAAACAGATATATTTTATTATATTATAGGTATATTATATAGGATACCATTATATATATAATCAGAAGTAAAAAAACTCCAAAGCTAACATGAAAATAGAGTTCTTGAATTGTGAAATACATATCAAGAAATAAATACATAAAAAATTAGATTACATTCCAAATTTCTCAGATATTTTATTGGAACCTTGGTATCAGAGTGCAAGTAAAGTGAGTCTGAAATCAGAGCTTTTTAAAGTCAATTGTCATTATCAAGTAGTAATGAGAAATAGACTCTCTTACCTATAACAGTTGTTGTCAAACTTATTATAACTAGCAAATGCAATTAAAACTCCAAACCCAGCTCCTAAAGAGTAAAATATCTGAGTGGCTGCGTCAATCCATACCTGCATAAAGAGATGAAAATTATTAGATGTGTTAGCTTAGTTTAAAAGAGAAAAGTTGAGTGACATGACAGAACTGTATGGTTAGAACTAGCTTTGGATATCTATTGAAATAATATCTCATCATACTCCATGACTACAGAACCATAAATATTTCCCAGCCCGTCAAGAACCAAGGCATGGGACTGGACTATTGGGACTGGACTATTTCAACAGAGAGGCAAACTCTAAAGCAATAGCAAAACCTAAGTGTGTGCAGAGTGGTATTATAGGAGTGCTGGTAGCTTAGTGAACTTCCACAGGGTACAGAAACGATTAATTGATTTTTTTGCTGCGTTGTGGCAATACACTTCCCACTAGCGCTGGGTTAATTTGGATTGCACAGTCAGAAATAAAAATAGTCAACGGGTTAGGAGTTATGGAATGTTTTCCTTTCCCACAGGAGAGTTTATTGCATGGGACCGTTATTACAGTTTATATGATGCTTTCTTCCATCAGAGGTCGAAGTCTGATTGACATGCTTTGAATAGGACGTCTAAGAGATATTCCTTCTCAAGTCTCACTCATTTAAAGGGCCAAGAACTATTGCTATGATAGTCATTAAGTTCCACCACTTCATCTGCTCAGACTGTATAGAGCCCATTCCAGAGCCAATGCCTGGATTTTAAACTAGGATCCTGAAAATACAGGCAGAGGAGGTCAGATGAACTGTTTTATGAAGGTTTTCAAATGTCTCTTCCCTCAAGTATCACATTGAGAAGTCAAAAGCTCACGGCTTGATCCCAAGAGGTTCTGAAGCTAAGGGGAGCTGAGAGTCCTCAGCACCTCACAGACTCAGAATGTTTGGATTTAGCCAAATCTGCCAAATATAGCCCGAGGCTAAAACACCTGTGGGTGTGTGTTGACCAAAAGAACTCTAGGATGTATTGCTATCAGCTGCTGGTGCTGCTAACACTCCACATCCCACTTGTTGGAAAAGTTGCGCAAAGTCTCAACACAAGGAATTTTTTAAAATAAACTATACTTGGGAATGCCATACTGACATTCAAGGTACAAAGTACAAGGTACTTGTATTGCTTTTTGATAGGTCACTGGCTCTTTGCCACTTTGTGTCCTGCCACTGGATTTGTAGCTGCTTATGCTAGTTTTGTATTTTTGGCCCAATTCAAAAGCACTTAAGTCTCACTGGCTTTAAGATGACTTTAGCACGTGCTGTATAGGGATGGATTTAAGCATGGGCTTAGAGTTAAGCACGTGCTTCTGTGCCTTGCTAAATCTGAACCTTGGATTGAAATAATCCTCTGTGTTAACCCAATTAGCTGCTGTGCAGATCGAGATAAGGAGTAAGCAGCAGAAGACAGAAGTCATTAAAAAGTCAAGGTTCCATGCAAAATATTCCTTGTAATAACAAACAGGATGCAACACAGAGACAATGGGGCTGGGCTCTTCTACAATTTACGCTGATGTTATTCTACTAATTTCAATAGAGTTACTTCTGACTCACGTCGTGATCCAGTTTAACTGTATCCTATAGTATTTGAATTTGTATGTACCATTACAAAAAATTCTGGGAGGTTGTAGCCAGTCTTTCACTCCAAGCTTCCTTCCTGTTTATATTACTATAACTTTTGTTCCTACACTTCTTCTTCCATGTATGGACTTGCAATATTACTGCACAATACAGAGAGGAAGGGGAAATACTAAGTGAATCCCCAGACATGATGTAATTTTCAGGAAACTTCTTATGATGTCCAAAGGAGCAAATACCTCCTTCCTGGCCTAGAATTCCTGATGACTCTGGTTTTATTAATCACTCACTGCTGTTCCTTTTGTGGAACAGAAGTACTGCTGCCATTTACAAAGATTTTTAAATTAATCACTTGATTTTTGTGCCGTGGAGCCAACAGTATCAAGCTTTGTGCTGCTGGACTTGTCAGCAAGGAATGTATGTAGGCCCTGTTCCCTTCAGATCTCTTCAAAACAACATTTCTATCTGTATTCTTAATGGGTCTGATCTGGCACAGTGCTTGTTTTACTGGCAATGGAAGCCTCTCATGAGTTGCTGAACACCTTGCAGCAGTGAGCCCTATAAACTCTTGGCATGAGGGGACCTTATGCCTTTTACATTAGGACTTTTGATCCTAGAGCAGAGCAGATTGTAGAACAATGCAATTTATCTGTGACTTTTATTTGCTGCTGTTCTTCACTGGGGAAAAAATATTCATAAATCAAAGGCTCTTGCCGAAACACACTGAACTGGTACTCAGGCAGCTGTCAAATCTCCCAAAGGCCCAATAACAAGGATTAAGCACACAAACACGTCAATAGAGCCAGCAGGGGCCCCAGCTTCCTCGACAGGGGGTTGCAGAAAGAATAACTCAACAGGCAACTTGGCTTTCCTCTTTCTTGTAAGTGGTCTTCCATCTTTCATCATCCTGCAGGCATTCTCTGTCGGTCTCTCTCTCTCTCTCTTTTATATAAGTAATCTGGAAAACTTGGTATCAAACAAATATCTTTGTGGCTAGCCAGGTAGCAGCTGTGTAAACTTAAAGCCCAAAAGAGCAATACACAAATATATTCTACAAATGCAGAACACAATTTGAGGACCAGATCCTGAGCTGGTGTGAAGTCAGCATAGCCCCATTTACTTCCAGCTGAGGATCTGGCCCTGAATATTTATTGTTTTCCAAACATCACTTAAAATACTAAGGAAAATGAAATAACTCATGTCCCTTCCCCTGTATTGAGCTACACAGACACACCCCCGTCACTGTATATTACACATTTCTGGTATGATGGGAGTGACATTGCTTTGGTGACAGACATGACTCAAGCTGTAATATTTGATCTGGATTTGAAGCACCCCAAAGTGAGTGGGTTCAGATTTGAAGATGTGCTGTGCTATACTGCAACCTACTGTCAATGAGGAGACCTGAACATTGGCTGTTGCATACAGCGGATAAAATTAACATTACCAAAAAAAAAAAAAAATAAAAAGGGAGGGAAGGGACTGTTTTGATTACAACACATGAAGTAGTCCTGGATTTTGGTACTCAAGCTTCGTATTAACTTTGTTTAGTTTTTCTAACTCTGATGGGCCTCTCTTTAGGTGTTTTCATGACAGTTTGTTTCTTCTTGCGTTTTTCCAGTTTTCTATTTTGTATCTATTTGAAAAGCACTTAACATTTTCAAGCTGGTCTGTACCAAGGGGATGCCATTGCTTAAGGACTCGTTCTTTTTTCTCCCTAAGTAAAAACAAACAAATAAAAAAACCCCAGCCCTGGGATAAAATCTGTTTGTGATCACTAAATTATTTCCCTCTGGGGCTTTGGAAAGGCTGGTAATTTCATAACGAATTTGAGTGAGTTGACTTGCAGATCTTTTTAATACAATAGGCTGAGGGCAGAAGTTATTCTAATATACAGTAGGTTGAATGTTCTCAGGGCGCTAAGGCCTATAGGGCTATATTGGCTACAAACTGAAAGTATGTGGCCACATTTGCTTTGGCTGACTTACAATGTCAGGCAAAGCTATCGACATATGTACTTTAAGTTTCTAATTCCTTACTACTGAAAGTCTCAGTCATTATAAAGTACAATAAAATGGCTTGCACTGGAATGGCCCTGACAAGTCAGGTATTCATTACCAAACCTCAAATCAGATACTCAACCAAAATTTCAAGTGCCTATTCAAACTGGGAAACATAATCCAAAATGATTTTTTCCCCAAGAAAATCTTCATTTTCAATTAAAAGCTATTTTCTGTAGTCATTAGTTTTCAATGGAAAAATGTCAATCCGCTCTGCTCATTATTCTCTACTAGCAACTGCTGAACATAAAGGGCCAGAAAATAACCAGATCTTACCAACTATTTCCCCAGCATGCAGGAGCTCTCCGCTGGCACAGAGCTGATGCAGCCTGCCTTTGCAGTACCCCGTGGCCACACAGGAAGTGCGTCATCATAGGTAAGGTTTGTGGTCAAAACATGTACAGTTTCTTAGGGACAGGAAGGAGGAATAAGATGAAGCAGCCCCTAGGCTATTCTACTAGTACCAGTGCCCAGAATTGTGCAGATTCATCCTGATACGGCTCCCTGATGCTTTCCTCACTATCAGAGAGTCAGAAACTCTGCACAGTAGAGAAACTGGAGGAACGTTCATGTGCCAACAAACATAAATACATCATTTGAGAAACTAACACTAACAATTTAATAACAGCTTCCATTTCTATTAACTCGGACAATAGATAGGAGGGTCTGCGAGGGCTATTATTTCATTATAGGAAGCGAAGATGGAAGAGAGAACTTACCGTAGCTTCTTTTAACCTTCTGAAATCTATGTGAAGGTAAGCATTTATTCCATTGTATGCACCAGGCAATGTGATTCCATGGATTAACAATACAAATAATACAACGTAAGGCAAAGTGGCTGTTATCCACACAACCTGCAGGGGACAAACAGACACCAAATGTTAAATAACCTACTGTTACACAAACTGGAAGTTTTATAAACATGTTGGAGAATCCAGTTGTCCCTTTGTTGCATCTGTTCTCTGGAGGATGTCTTGATTGTTTATCATAAGGGGCACTGTCCTAGCAAAAAAGAACTGTTAGTTACCAGTCACACAGACTAGGAAAATTGCCACAAGTAAAGATAGATAGTATGTTAAAGTATGAGATGGGTTAGGCAAGTGAGATTATATGTCAGCAGTGGAATGACTATATTATTAATGGTTGTATTAAACTTCTGAGCAAGTTCAGTATGAATTATTTCCAGAAGCATAAGTAGACATGAGCAGATATTTGCTGTAAAAACCATAGAAATATACAAAGCAACTCAGACAGCAAGAATTCTCAGATGTCTTCCATGGCTAGGACTTCTGATTGAGATTGATTCATTCACCATACATTGCCAAGAAATGTTCCATTTTTTCTAATCAACTAAGTAAAATATCAACATGAAAATGAGGAAATGCTGACATTTACGGAAAATATATGGCATAAATGGAGGGTTATAATTGAACTGTTTGTACAATTATACTGTTGTAATTGAAAAGCCAAATAAAGAAAGGCTGTGCATTGAAAGACTAATGAAAGGCTGGGCATTCGACCACATGATTGAAATTAAACCACGGTATGTGAACATTAACTGATTAAAACTGTTGAGGTGGTAGCTAATTTATCAAAATCAAAAATATTCTGAGGTTTGGAAGCTAAAAACTCCTTTTCAGCAAGTTAATAAAGTTGCATCAAGGTCTAATGTCTTAATTCTAAAATATCCAAATGATGTGTCAGTAAATATCCAGGTGGTTTTATTTCAGCTCTTGAGGTACTTCAAAGAATAGTTGCCGAAACCTTTGGAAGTGATAAAGTGTTTAAGTTAGAACGCATGTTTATTTAATAAAAGCAAGGGCCCTTAAACAATACAATGAAAGCTTTAAGCAAGTTTTGCAGAGAACAAGAGACAATCTTTAACCTTTATCCAACTCCAACAGAAGTCAAAGGGAAGACTCACCCATTGACTTTAATGGGCTTTATATCAAGCCTCTAATACTGAACTTAAAGTTAAAAAGCTAACAGAATTTTGCAATGCTGGACACCACTGGAGCAAAGATGATGTAATTGTTGACTCAGATAAAACAGGAGCTGTATTTGAAATGTCCACTCCACTTTGTAGAACAGATAGACAGAGATCTAAAGCTTTGGTCCTAGTGACACTCTTGGGTACAATGATTTACAGGCCCTATTCCCCTCCCCCCCCCCCAAAGTCACTTTCTAAAAAGGACAAAGAACAATATTGAGATACAAGAGCAATATTAGCTCTACCTTTCCTGAAGTCTTCACTCCTTTCCACAGACTAAAGAAAAGAATTATTACTACCACCAAGAGGCATAGAGAGAGCTGCCATCGGGGCGAGCCAAGGTCATGGATTCCACTGCTTTCATGCAGATGCAGTACACCTCGTCTAGACATAAGAGGGGAAGAGAGACAAAAACAAAACAAAAAAACCATCAGGTCACTTCTCATCCTGTGGGCTGCAAGTAGACATGAAAGCTTAATGACAATATATCAGTGGCTTCTCTGCTTAGATTCATAGATACTAAGGTCAGAAGGGACCATTATGATCATCTAGTCTGACCTCCTGCACAACGCAGGCCACAGAATCTCACCCACCCACTCCTGCGATAAACCTCTCACCTATGTCTGAGCTATCGAAGTCCTCAAATCGTGGTTTACAGACTTCAAGGTGCAGAGAATCCTCCAGCAAGTGACCCGTGCCCCATGCTACAGAGGAAGGCGAAAATCCACCAGGGCCGCTTCCAATGTGCCCTGGAGGAAAATTCCTTCACGACCCCAAATATGGCGATCAGCTAAACCCTGAGCATATGGGCAGATGCTTGATATAGTTTTTAATAGAGCTGGTCAACATTTTGCATATTTCAATGGACAAAAAAGTTAATATTTTTTCTATTTTGATTAAACCACAGAAAATAAAATGAATGTGTGGACACCCCCTTATTCTCCAGCAGTACAGCTTTTTGAAATAGTTCAGATTTTGAAAATGATGAAAAAATGTCAATTTTCATATGTATGTGTATATGGTATATGGTATATTCACCAATACTCTTCCCTCATTTTTGACCAGTTCTAGATTTTACTTAGGCCAATGTCAACTAGAAATCTGGGTCACCACAGCATCAGGAAATGGGAGGTTAAATAATATAACTGTTTTGCTTTGCTAGCTCATCACATCTAATAAAGATGAGTTGCCATAATCTTTTGGCTGGATCTTCAATTTCAGTCTTAATTGGATGAAAAATGCGTTTAAAAGTATCATGCCACAGTAAGTAGCTGCTCTGTTTTTATTACATCGTAGGGCCAATAACAAGTAAGGAATGAAAGTACATGGATCAGTGTGTATGTGATGCCCATTGAAGAGTCTTCTCTTTTTTAGAAATTAAAAGGTGAGCTTTAGTTTATATTTTAAGAACAATGAGTGCTAAGACCTGCAGAAACATTAACAAAAATATACAGATAGACTCCTTATGATGCTTAACAAAAAAAAATTCTTCAACCAAATTTATGGACATAAATAGGTTGGGCTTCTTTAGAATAAACGCACAAAGTCTCATTTAAACCTTTTCTCAAAATGTGAATGGAACCCACCTCAAATCTTAATATTCAGAAAAGTTAAACCTGATTCTGCATGCCTTGTTGAACTCACTGAACATTCATTTCCCCCAAATATTCTTTTGAATTTTTAAATGAGTATGCTTCAGTGGTGATCGTTTTCCATGAAAGATCTCACAAATGATCTCACTGTTAGGAACATTTGCCAAAAGATCAATTTCAAATGTGGGTTTGTAAGTAGTTGCACTGGAAGCTTGATTCCAAGAGATCTGTTCCTTTCATCTGGAAAAAGAATCATAACATGGGGGAAGTTTTTGTTTGTTTGTTTCTTAAACCTCAGCAATTTAATGTTAAGGCAGCTGGGGACCAGCTGGACTGAGGGAGTCCCCCTAACCATTATCCCTGTACCAGCTGCAGGGATGAGGACGGTGGCTTCACAACTGCTTTGAGGATTCCCTAACACATGAGATTCTCCAGGGTCGAAGCATCTGGGTGGAGGGCCACTTGGCATTGGCAGAGTAATGCAAAATGACCAGAGTCCATTCCTAGACTGGGACCACCTTCTCCACCAACTGAAGAACAATTCCATATCTCCTCCAACATTGTGAAGAAGTGCTTTTAAGCCTGTCATTTAATGTGTTCTGAGGTAACATAAGCCCTACAGACCTATTTAAAATATCATCAGCTTGAGTGGACATAAACTGGAATATTTATTTTCAAGTCAGACCTGTCGTCACCTGTCTCTCTTCTCAAATCCTTAGTTGATTCACAACTAGTCCAGAAACCTGTCAAAACACAGTATTAATGGAATCAACCTATTTATTTGTTTTTGCTTTTTTGCCACCAACCTCTTTAAGCAGATCTAAATCTAAAAGTACCCAATGGAGGATGGAGAGTGAAACTTGCTGACAGAGGTACTACTTCCGTTTTATAATAAAGTTCTCTAACTCCATTAACAAAACAAGGAAATTGTCAGGTTAGTGACAGCCACAGAGAAAGACAGCAAAGGAAGGCGAAAGTCAGAAGATGTAGTAAAATAATCAGTGATCGTAAGGAAAATCAGTAAACAAAATATTAAGAAAAAGTGATGAAAGATGAAAAACGGAAGTGCGGAAAAACATTACCATATTATTTTTACCTGTGGGGTGGGGTTGGGGGGAGAGAAGAACAATTAGAAAGTAGATAAGGGACTCATTACATTAGGCTGAGCAAGACACAAAAAGTGTTGATAAATCGTTTAGTACGACTTTTAGGCTTTGTAATATTGCAGCCTGACCCCAGAACACAGGGCCGGTGGCATTCAGCTGGAACAGCATTGAAACAATGCTGAGGAACCTCCAGAGAGATAGGAAAACAAGAATTGCTGTAGTGGTGCATCTAATCCAGTTTCTTGTCAAGGGTGGGTGTAAATGCAAAAGGCCTAATTCCTGTAATTTACATGAAGGCTACTTTACATGACTCTGGCAATGCAAAGGGGACTTAAAGTGGCCATGAATTACAACTGCACCACCTTTGAGGCCCTTTGCATTGTCAGGGCTGTAAACTACCATATAACCAGGCCCGAAGAGTCTTCCTGCCTATCTGTGGAGGTGGGAGAGGCAGGGCTGTGTGGGGTTTCAGACTAGAGGATATTACTGTCAGGGACTTTGCTGTCTCTCTCAGGGAGATTTTATGTTTGCCCTTTTATTGTTATTTTGGAAGCAGTACGTGTTTGGCTCTTTGTGTCTGGAAAGCAGTTCTCCCCACGGGCAGACTCCTCCTACCTGCCCTGCTCCCTTCAGCCTGCTCTTCCTGGACAGATTTCACTCCCCTATTTCCTCCTGGATGGACTACTGTTTCCCCTCCCTCACCTGAATCCTTGAATTTCCACCCATGTGAGGCAGTTCATCTCAACTGAAACCAGAAGACAACTGGCCATCAGTAGTGAGCTATTTATTACACCCTTGCCTTCTGTTCTGCCTCCATAATACATCAAGGTCCTCTCTGATTGATTCTGGATACCAAGGAGCCAAGATAAGGTCCTGCATTTACAATCAGAGCTTTCATTAAACTGAAGAGGCAGGGTAGCCTTAGAGATAGAACACTGGACTGGGACTCAAGAGATGTGTATTCTATTCCTAGCTCTGCTATGGGGTAACCCTGAACAAGTTGCTGCTCCCTGTGTGTCATTTTCCCCATCTGTAAAGGGATAGTGATATTATCGCTGTTGTGAAGTGCTTTGAGATCAATGGATGAAAAGTGCAATATAATAGTTAGGTATTTTTATTAGGTCATCTCTGACCTGAGCCCATCATATCCCCTTTGTGAGCTATTTTGAAAAGTGTTCTTTTAGAACCATTGAAGTATTAAAGCATAACAAGGAAACCTAACTCAATAGAAAGAACACTATATTGTCCATTTAAATATTTTTAAGCCATAGCCTGGGAAAAAAACAAAAACAATAGCTTTCAGAATGGTATTGCCCTTTGTACAACCAAATCCTATGGAGAAACTCCTCAGTAGCTTATTTGTGTGACTAATTCTTACTGAGAGATTCACAGCACTGTACATTGCAAGTATCAGAGATTATTGCACAAGCAGGTGGACTTGAGTATATTAAAATAGAGGCTGTGGTTCCAGTCCATGTCCAATGATAATTCCAAGTTCAATTAAAAGGCTTGTTTTGCCATTGTGATGCAGTTTACAGACCCCACACAGAGACTAAGGGAGTGAAGGAGCTGTACTGGGCCAAAAGGGCCCCACCCTTCAACAGCTGTGGAACATGTTCCAAATAGATGAGCTGGTCAGAAGGGGCCTCTGAAGCAGGGGGAGAGAATGGCTGAAGGGAGGAAGCCAGTTTACAGCCCTGGGAACAGAACAATCTACAGGAGAAGGGTCTGGACTGTGGGTAAGATCTCAATTCGGAGGGTAAAGGCCTGAGCCTTTTCCCTCCCCCACTCCCTGCTGAGAGAGACTAAATGAACATGGGGAAGAGATCTGGGGAATGCTTATTTGACCAGCTGAGCTGCTGACACTGATTGGGAACTCCCTGCTGGAGCAGGAGAGGGCAGCAGCCACACACCAAACTGCAGATAGAGAGGGGGAAGTAGGGAACAGCCCAGTCGATGCTGATAAGGTGCACCAGGAAGAGGTGACTGAGACATTCCACACCTCTCCCCTTTGGGCCCTGGTCTGTAACAGGAGGGAGAGGTAGGGCCCAGGTCCCCCTAACTTCACACCCCCCTCTTCCATCCGACCAGGAGAACCCTGGAGCACTGGGCAATGAAGATCACACACAGCTTGACCACTAGACCCGCTAACCACCAGGCAAATTCATCTCAGGACTTTGGGGGTGGAAGGACTGTTGAGCCATGGCCTGCCAGTCTCTGAGCAAAACCAGCTACAGCCATCCTCAATTTTTTAGTTGAAAGAGGTATTGGTTTACATTTGTGTTGGACCAATAGAAGGAATTTCACATACACATGCACATACACAATATACAGAAAGGCAGGTTTCAATGGCAAAGTATATCTGCCCTCAGAGGGATTTGTTGATGAATTGATATTTTGGCAAATACATCATACAATCTGACAGTCATTCATTTTGACACGCTTGTATTAAAAACAGAAGTATGTTTCTTGCCCTTATGTTAGAACATATAAACTTCTGGATATTAACTGATGTAGTGATGTTTTTGACAAACGCATTTGTTGTCAAAAGCCTCAATGTTGGTTTTTTGTTTTTTTTTATCTTAAATCTTATAGGAGAAAACTTTTGACATCTAAATCTTCTGAGGACAAGTAATTTTAGGGTATGTGGGTTATGGTATAGGCACCTATAGAGATGTCTATTGGA